GGTTGCGGCCGGAGCGCGGGGGCAGGGAGCGCCTTCCGGGGGTCCGGCAAAGCCGGGAGCGGGACCCGCACCTCCTGGAAGCCAACGCAGGGTCTCAACAGCTTCGTCTCTCTCCGGTGAATCGCTCCAGGAGTGCGGAGAGACGGCCGGGGGCTGAACTCAGCCCTGTGTTCTTGGCCAGACGGTGACTCGTGTTCTTCAGTTTCTCCTTTTGCGTTGCCTTTTGCTTTTGTTCCAAACTTCGTCTGTTTCTGCTGGAAAGCTCTTGCGTGCAGAGCTTGTAACTAGCGACTTACTAGTAGGAGTGGGCAAAAAGCGTGGTTAAATACATGCGGCCTTGAAATTGCAAGCTGGATAGTATTACGAAGCGGGCCATCTTCTGAAGGAAACCTCCGTCCTGCGCTCCTTGAGGCCCGTCACCTGCAGCCAGCAATAAAATTAAAAGCAGCAGGTCGTGGGAACTGTTTGGACCGCACATGGTTAACGCTTAATGATAATTACTCTGTGTGCTCAGGATAGGAGAATATCTCACAAGTCCGTATCTCCTTCCTCGTGTCTTAGCTGCAGAGTTATAGAATCTATCTTAAACCCCCAAAAGCGGTCGAGTGTGATAGCATGGGACCCCTCTAGCGCTGCGTTCACCTCTAAACTCGGCGTGGTTATGTAAGAACTGTGTCTCCTCTCACTTGTCATAACCTTTTTGTTGCTCCACCTGAAATAGTAGAAAGGAGAGGGAGAAGCGTAACGGTTTTCAAACATACAGTCATTTCTGTCAATGCTTTGCTTTTTTAGGTGGAATTACTTTTTCCTTTATGATGGTTCGAAGGTTAAGGAAGAAGGAGATCCTACAAGTGCCGGGATTTGTTATTTTTATCCTTCTCAGGTAATGTCTGCTTTTATTTCCGTGCCTGTAAAGGAGTGCCTGTGTTGTGAGTCTTCTTTTTTTTTTGTGGTCCAGGAACAGTCAGGCTTCCAGGTGGAGCTTTGGATTAATTCTTATTTATTATTCACAAAAGTTTTAAGGAAACTCATGCAACTAGAACCAGCTGGGGTGGTGCTCCACCAGGCTCGGTGCACGGAAGTCCTCGGGCTTCTGAGGCTGGGCATGGTGGTGTTGCGCTCTGCTCCCTCACTGTGGATTCTGGTCAGTGGAGTCCTCCAGCAGAGTCCAGGTCTGCTCTGGTGGCGTGAATCAATACACACGAGGGATGAAAGTGCCCCTAAATAAGCTCTAGGCCCTTGTGCTGCCTGAAAAAAAGCAGTCCGGTTATTTTTTCCCCAGAAATTTGCCTGTGCTACTGCATTTGATTTATAATTAAATTGAACTTATAATTCATTTTTATTTATACCTGAATACAGTAGTGATTTTTTTTTCCAAGTCCTTTTAAAAGGAAAAAAAACAAAAAAAGTCTGTCTTCCCGGCCTTCCTCGACAGACTCTTCCCGACCAGCAGGAACTGCTGTGTGGACAGATTGCCGGAGTGGTGCACTGCGTGACTGAGATTTCTGGAGTTCCTCCAAGTCTCATTCGCCTGAGGAAGCTCAAGTTTGCAGTTGTAGTGGATGGAGACTATCTGTGGGTGAGTTCAAGAGATCTGGAGGCAGTCGCAAAGCTAAAACTGCGAGGGAGTCTGAGCTATTTTATCGAACAGAGGGCTGCTGCTTTTCGCGGTATGGGCTGCACACAGATAGACCTAGGAGAGCTAGGGTGGGAACTTGCAATGCACAACTTTTCATTGCAAGGTAACTTAGATTTTGTTTACCACAGCATACGAGCATGTGTCGTTCGTGGCAGTCGCTTCAGCTGTTCTGTAAAAAGCTTCATGTACCTCATTTGTGTGTCCACACCCAACGTGTTTTCTTACGATGTGCCTGGCAGTGGCTGTAAAACACTAAGCTCTGCGTCGTTATGTGTATCCATGGGTTACTGGCAATGACTCGAAACAGGATTCCGTGTGCTGCAGTTTGTAATAAGGACTCAGTCTCCCTTTTTTGGTAGTCTGACCGTTCCTTCCTTCTAACCCTCAGTATTCCCTGCTGCAGAGCTTTGTCAGTGTCAACAGATATTTAGTATATAAAGAGCAGTGTGCAGCAGAGTCGTGACAGAAATGCCCCAAACCATCCCCTGGAAACTGGGCTAAGACCTGTCAGACCTATTTAATTGGCAGTGCTGTTCAGGCTCAGTGGGCTCTCTCTGAGGCAGAAGGCCTGGCGCTTCTGTTTCTCTTGGCAACTCAAAAACTAAATGAAGCATCTTCATCGCTGTAAATAACAAGTTAATTTGAATATTTCCAAGTACTTAGTTTCAGGAAAATGTTCTCAGCTATTAGGACACCGAGCTAGGTCATCTAACGTGGGAAGGGAGTGTGTCTAAAACACTGGATTTCTGATATCATTTATTTATCCTGTCTGTGCCAGGGCTGTTCTGTGGGTATTTTTGAATTTCCTTTTCCTGTGACTTGTGAATCTGGGGGATGTTTGCCAGCCACAGAACTGCTTGTACGCCTTTGATACTCATTTGAAAGCGATAAGAGTTGTTATCACCTGCTATGCCTGGGTTTTGTCAGTAAACATTCTTCATTCACGGCTTTCTGTATTAAAGGTTCTGGGCTGTGCTGTTGAGCTCCCTGATGTCAGCTGTAGACGGTTTCTGGAGCAGCTGATCAGCCTCTTCACTTTCTACAATGGACCTGTGCACCGTGCGTACATGGTAATTAAAGATCAGCAGCCATGATGTTTCTGCCTAGGAAGAGGTCTTAAACACTTCCCATATTGGCCGAGCTCTCCCCAGGCACGTACACGCTGGCATGTTCCCTTATGTTGTCTTCTTACTAGCAAGGGTCAGAGCAAGCTCACGTATCAAAGAATTGCAACCTGGAAAAGTGTACAGGCCCATCTTCCTGTTGCACTGAGGGCGTCTACTAAAAGTTTCCTAGATGTTCAGTCTAAAGCAGTTTCCTCTCGATATCATCTTCCTCCTTATCCTCACAAGATTTGTCACTTATAGGTACTGTCCCAGATTGACTGCATCTAACCATCCTGAATGCATTAAGGCCTGCGCAGTGACAGCCGTGTGGATTTTTGTTGTCCGCAGGCATTTTCTCAGGAGGAACTGAGCAGGCAGTGGGACAGATATATTGAACATATCCAAAAAAACACCAGTGACCTCCACAAGATTTTCAATTCTCTCTGGAATCTGGACAAAACCAAGGTAAAAGCCTGTCCTCTGCAGTGGCTGGCTCTAGAGCTGCCTTAGTGCCAATGCTTTTGTGTTTATTTGCTGCTTTGAGCATTTCCCAGGATTCTCTGGCCCAACTTCTTGTGGTTCTCCTTGTCTAGGTGGACCCCCTGCTCTTACTGAAAGCAGCTCTCATCTTGCAAACTTGCCAGCGGTCTCCCCATGTCTTGGCGGGCTGCATTCTCTACAAAGGCTTGTAAGTAATCAGGCATTACCCAAAGGGTTAACCCGCGCGTTAAATCTGCCCCTTCCCAGGGCTGTGATCCCGGAGTGCATCCAGGGAGCAGAGCAAGGGCACTAGCTGTACACGCAGGGCTGCTGTTTGTTATTGGCAGGAACATTAATGCTCCAGGCAAGGTAATCCCTGTCTGCTGGTGTATTTCAAAGAGGATAAATGGTTATTTGCGTTTATCAGTAGGAGAAATGGAAGCATGAAGAAATTCAAGGTTTGGGTTTTAGTAGTAATCTGC